ATCATTTTGGTGGCAGCACTAGCCCTAGGCCTGTACACACAGTGGCAGTACAGTCAGAATACTGTCGTGCTTGTTGTTGCCATCCTTGGACTCTTTGTGTTTGGATTGTCCTGTGCATGTCAGTATTACTTCAATTATGAATCACTTGGACGTGCCATCTTACATATATGGCTAGGCTGTATCTTAGGTGTGATTGTCTTCTCTACCGAACAAAAGGAAATTGAGTACATTGTTACACAGGAGGTGATGAATATTCTGTTCTTGACCAGCCTCACTGTTTCCTGCTTCTGGGTGATCACTCAACGAGCTATGAGGCTAATTAAACATGAGGCAAAGCTTTGCGAGTCAACAGAATTATTAGAGTGCTTAGGTTTATCAGTAGCAACACTCCTCACAGGACAACATGCCATCCCTATCGCCATTTTTATCGTTTCTGTCATCTGTCATTTGATGGCCATACGACTTAAGTCCATATTTGGACTAGCTAGCTTTATAGGAATGATTGTGGTAGCTATGGTGTTTTTCTGGGATGCGAAGCTCGATGTAAATGTATATGGTCTGATATGCTTTGTTGGTCGACAGGCATGTGCACCCATTGTAGACCTTTATTTCTCAGATCTGACAACACTGGAGCGATGGCAGACATTCTTTAATTACTCAAGATTATTTAGACATCTTTCTGTATTTTTTATGTTTATTATCAATGTAACACTTGCAGCATTTATAGGAAAACAGATAACTTCGCATAAGGAGTGGTACGTTGTGGTACCAATATTTGCCGTTTTTTCATTGATCTGGCTGTGTTTCCATGTCATTTACATCATATCCTGCTGGAAACTAATGAGTAAGGTCACAGAATGCAACAACGTGTACAAAAGTATGTCAGATGAACGTCGGAGTCTCAACAGGATAATGTCCTCTAAAGGGGTTCGTCACTTCAGCCTTGTGTCGGTCCGTCTGATCTGTGTTACCATGGTTACGACCCTAGTGTTGCTAGGCCTTGGATGGACAACC